CCACCTGTATGATCAGGGACTTGCAAGACAAGCCATATATGAGGAGAGGCTGAGGAACTTGGGCCTCTTTAGCCTAGAAAAGAGAAGGTTGAGAGGGGACTTGGTAATGGGAGTACATCAAAAACTCGGTAAACAGCTGTTCACCAGTGCACCCCCAGGGAAAGACCAGGAGGAATGGATACAAACTCCTGGAAGGCTGCTTCAGGCTCAATTCCAGGAAAACCTCCTTCACGGGCAGGGGGTCCAGACTGGAATAAACTCTCTCTAGGAATGGTGCAGTACCGGTGCCTGGAAATCTTACAAAGGAGACTGGACAGTCACCTCACTGGGGTCACTTGACCCCAGTTGTCTTTCCTGCCTAGTGCAGGGGGACTAGACCCAATGATCTACAAGTTTCCTTCCAGCCCTTAACAATCTATGAACTGCTGAATAAGCGGAATTGTATTTGGTCTTACATGTCTAGAATATATATTTTGACAGCTAGGCAAGAATGGAGTTGTGCAGGTTCTTTATGGTTTAGACAAGATGATTACATTGAATATTGTAGACAACAGGGAGCTAGTGGAAGAACAGAGGAGTAAAATCATCCAATTTAAAGGAGAGGACAATAGTCTTAGCATCTGCATTTTGCATATTTTGTCAGTATGAATGGCACACAAGGAGGTTAATGCCACGCCCTCTTCCCCCTTATCCAATGCTGAATTTCAAGTGTAACTGCTGTTTAGCAAGCAAATCAGTGGAGGGGTTCAGAGTAACAGCAGTGTTAACCTCTGCATGCTGGCCATGTCTACATAGCAGCTCTGGGAGCTGCAGCAAGTAGCTGTTGTCCTCCTTATTAAAGCATCCTTTTAAAATTTCATTTAAAAAATTGATTTTGAAAACCCAACCCTTGAAAAAGTTTTACAAATAGCATGTTTAAATCATGTTGCCTCCCAATACTAATACCTGTTATTAAAAAAATAATAATTATCTAGTAAAGAACAGAACCACAACTTTATAGCTTTTTGACCCTTCAAATTCATATGCTGTGTCCATTTTAGTTATGAAAACTTAATACAGAATCTGCAATGTAAATAACAGGAATGTACAGATACCTGTCGGAATATGGACAATCCGCACAGCGCTCTCTGTTTTATTTACATGCTGGCCTCCAGCTCCACTGGCTCGCTTAGTTTCAATCCGTAAATCTTTCGGATCAATAGACAGATTAATCTGTGAATGGAAAGAAAGAGGAAAAAAACCACAAAAAAGACAACTTCTAAATGTGCATAATTTAAACAGATCATTTAAATAGATTAAAACTACTCTGAGTTGATGAGGACTGCACTGTGACAAGCCACTTATCTGCAGTATAATAATCCCAGTCAAGCTAACAAGAGGTGAAGATCAACACAAGATTAATTCTCAGCTAGTTTTACACTGTTAGTTCAGCAGCACCCAAAAGGAAGTGAAATGTTCAGCCAGCTATTATGGGAAAAGGAAAATATAGATTATACAGAGAACGTGTATGTGAATAAAATCTCTGAGTTAGATAGTCGCAAAGAGTTTGGTTTCAATTTGTGTCAGGCATACAGAGATTCCTACATCAAGCCTCTTTTGATGTCCACTTAGGAAGAAACAAAATTTAGATGACTGATTTCCAAAATATTCTCCCTTTTCATCTACCACATTTTTTGTTTCCTACTTCAGTAATACTAAGTATTTTTCTAGATTTGCAATAGACAGACTTCAGTTTTAAATATTTTTAATAAGACAGTCTAGTATTTATGCAGCCCAGCAAAGACAAGCTAAAGTGATTTAAAACCATAAAAAATTTGGGTTGGAAGAGACCTCAGGAGATCATCTCAATCCACTACTCAAAGTAGGACCAGACCCAATTATACCATCCTAGCCAAGGTTTTGTCTAGTAAGGTCTTAAAAACCTCCAAGGATGGAGATTCAACAACCTCGCTGGGTAACCTGTTCCAGTGCTTTACTATTCTCCATATGAGAAAGATTTTCTTACTATCCAACCTAAACTTCCCTTGCTGCAACTTGAGGACATTGCTTCTTGTTCTGTCACCTGCCACCGCTGAGAACAGTTTAACTCAGGGGTGGGCAAAATATGGCCAGGTAACTGGATCAGCCTTGCAGCTGCCCCCATGGCATTCTGCATGGGCCCAAGACCTGCCTGCTCATGATGGGGCAGCCTGCACCAGGTCCTTGCTGGCGCTGGTGGCCCAGCCCCAGTCCCAGCCAGTGTGAGCAGCTTCCAGCAGGACTGTTCCCAATGCAGCTGCAGCTGTGTGCTGCTCTGCTCCCCCCTGCCTCTACTGGTGGTTCCTGCTCTTGCTGCAGTATGCTGTGCTGCTCCAGATGAGCAGCTTCAGTCAGGAGGCTCCTGCCCCACTGCATGGAGCTCCAGCTCCCAGTTTCCACAAGAAACTACAGGCGCCACCCAACTGAAGCTGTTTGTCTGGAGTGGCACAGCATAGTGCAGCAAGCGCAAAGTCAGGACCAGGAGCCACCACCGAAGGCAGGGGGGGAGCAGAACAGCACACAGCCAGGCTGGGCCATGGGCACTAGTGGGAGCACAGCACAGGACTCTCCAGTGTGAGTGGGAGGGGCTCGGCGAGCCCTGATGCATGCACCCCTGCCCCCCCACTCTCCTCATTCATCTCAGGCTCCCAGGATCTAGAACCCAGGCAGGACCCCTCCACTTCCCTACACCCACACCCCAAGTCTCCCAGAGCTGTCACTGCCCCATGATCCAGCCCCATGATCCCAGCCTCACTCACCCCGTCCCACTCCTGAATACTTCTCTCCACCCACTCGCAGCCTCAGAAGGAGTTTGGGTGAGTTGTTGGGGGAGATGAGGTACTGACCTGGCCCATGACAGCTCATCCAAACTCCCTATGTGGCCCTTGGTCCCAAATAATTGCCCACCCCTGGTCTAGCTTTATCCTCTTTGGAACCACCAGGTAGTTGAAGGTTGCTATTAAATCCTCTCTCAGTCTTTTCTTCTTCATACTAAAATAAGCCTAGTTCCCTCAGCCTCTCCTCAGAAGTCACGTGCCCCAGCCTCTTAGCCATTTTCACTGCCTTCTGCTGGACTCTCTCCAATTTGTCCACAACCTTTCTGTAGTGGGAAGCTCAAAACTGGACACTGCTTCAGATGCTGCCTCGCCAGTGCTGAATAGAGGAGAAGACTTACTTCCCTTGATCTGCTGTCCACGCTCCGACCAGTGCAACCTAGTATGCTGTTAGCCTTCTTGGCAACAAGGGCACACTGCTGGCACATATTTAGCTCATTGTCCATTGTAACCCCCAGTCCTTTTCTGCAGGACTGCTGCTTAGCCAGTCTGTTCCCAGCCTGTAGCACTGCATGGGATTGTTCTATCCTAAGTGTAGGATTTTGCATTTGTTTTTACTGAACCTCATGAGATTTCTTTTGGTCTAACCCTCCAATTTGTCTAAGTCTCTCTAAATCCTAGTGCAACATATCTACTTCCTCAAGCTCAATGTCATCTGCAAACTGGCTGAGGGGGCTCTCTACCCCATTTTCCAAGTCATTGATGAAGATATTGAACAAAATTGGCCCCAGGACTGACACCTGGGGCACTCCACTTAATACAAGCTGCCAACTAGATATCAAGCTGTTGATTATTAGCTTCTCAGCCTGATGATCCAGCTAGTTTTCTATCCACCTTACAGTTCATTCATCCAACCTGTATGTCCTTAGCTTGCTTGTCAGAACATTGTGGGAGACTATATCAGAAGCCTTGCTAAAGCCAAGATACGTCACGTCCACTGCTCTACTTGGATCCATAGAGCCAGTATGTCATCAATCATGGAAAGCAGTCAGGTTGGTCATGTATGACTTGCCGTTGGTGAATTTATGTTGATTACTCCTAATCACCTTCTCCTCCAAGTGCTTAGAAATTAATTCCTTGAGGAGCTGCTCCATGATTTTTCCAGGAACTGAGTGAGATAAGACTGATTGGTCTGAAGTTCCCCAAAATCTCCTGTTTCCCTTTCTTAAAGCTAGACACTATATTTGCCCTTTCCCAATCATCCAGGACCTTTCCCAATTGCCACGAATTTTCAAAGGTAATGGCCAGCAGCTCTGCAATCACATCAGCCAAATCCCTCAGCACCTTTGGGTGCACTGTGTCCGGCCCTATGAACTTGTACATGTCCAGCTTTTTAAAATAGTCCCTAACCTGTTCTTTCACCACTGTTGGCCATTCATTTCCTCCCTAAACTGCACTGCCAGGTAAAGTAGTCTGGGAGCTGACTTTGCCTGTGAAGACTGAGGTGAAAAAAAATACTTCAGCCTTTTCTGTACCATCTGTCTTCACCATCAATAAGGGACCCACACTTTCCCTAATTTTCCTCGTTACTGACACACTTGTGGAAACCCTTCTTGTTACCCTTCATGTCCCTTGATAGTTGCAACTCCCATTGTGCTTTGGTCTTCCTGATTTCATCCCTGCATGCCCAAAGCAATACTCTTATACTTCTCCCTAGTTGTTTGTCCAAGTTTCCACTTCTTGTAAGCTTCCTTTTTGTGTTTTATCTTGCTGAAGAGTTCGTTGCTATGCCAAGCTGGTCTTCTGCCATACTTGCTAGTCTTCCTGAGCATTGGGATGGTTTATTCCTGTGCCCTCAATAAAGTTTCTTTAATATACAACCAGCCTTCCTGGACTCCTTCCTGGACTCCTTCTCCCCACCCCCACCACAACTGGGCTCTCAGGGGATTCTACCCATCAGTTCCTTAAGTGAGTCAAAGTCTGTTTTTCTGAAGTCCGGTCTAGTCTTACAAAATAATTCCCCAGATATGGAAAAGAAAAATTATAAGTGAGCTCTCAAGAATTAGTTACCTATTTTTGTTTATGAGTGAAGATTTTGAGAACCACAAATACACATACTTATAGGTGCCACATCCTGTGCTGTAGCTCAGCTGGACATAAATAATGAGCACAATGTGACTCAGCACTTTAAAAACCAATAAGGACACAAGAAGGATACAACATGTAAATTGGAAATGTTTTACAACACAGCTTCTGAGACTGTAGGGAATGGCCACTGCTCACAGCAAAGTTAATTATATTTAAGTTCTCTTACCTCAGTGGGTTGGGGCAATATTGCAACAGACATTGTGCTGGTATGAATACGTCCCTGCTTCTCTGTCTTTGGCACTCGCTGAACACGATGCACTCCTCCTTCAAACTTCAGGTTCTTGTATGCTTCAGGACCTGCTATGCTGGCTACTGCATGTCTCAAGCCACCTTAAAAGAAAAAGAGAAAGCAGCCTTGAGTGGACAGTTCAGGATAGTTACATTAAAATGTTAAAAAAACCCTCCTTAGATGTGACCAACACTTGTTCTTGTATAAAAATTAGGCATAATTAAGCAGGTCAAGCTGTGCACGAACCCGATAATTAAAAAAACCCTCCTCATTAGGAAAACTGCATTCTTGATACCCCAAATATTTTAAAGCAGTGGTGTTCAACTGATCCAGTCCTCAAGACTCCCCATGAATTCAGAAGTGTGGCAGTGGGGGAACAGTGGCAGCATTAACGGCTGTGGTTTCTAGAACCATAGCAATCAATACTGGCACCACTACCCAACTGCCAAAACTCCAAACCTATGGGAAACACTGGGGGCTTGATGATGTGGCTTCACATGCCAGATTACACCAGTGCATGGGGTTACATCCACAGACTGATTATGGGTGCCAACCCCATGCCAAATCAGGCCTGCTGACTGACTCCATGCCACTCAGCTGGCCTGCAGCACCAGAAGGTTGAACACCTTTGTTCTACAGCTCGTTTCCTTTCTGTGCATGTGTCTTGTACTAGGAAAGATCAAGAACACTAATTAGTCAGTGAGGAGGCAGGCAATTTCTCTTTCTACCCAAGTGTTCTATGACATTTACAAAGGATTATTTTATTTATTTATCTTTGGTTTTAGTTAACTTTCTTTCACAACACACACATATATGTACATATACATACATATATACAAATATGCCCAACTTTAATATTATACTTTTTTTCCACTTCCCCTTTCCGGTTCTCTCTCTCTTCCTTTTTCTGCATCTTTCTTCATTGCCTTTGGCATGGATGTGGAAAAAGGCTTCCTATTTCCTTTCCCATTACAAGGGTCAATAATGAAATAGTTAACAAAGATAGTGAAATGTCATAGCTAGAATGCTATGGTTTAGAATTAACATTCAACAGACAGTAAAAGGGGTTCATACCTTTTAACACCATCATTTTAAGTTATCAAAGACTCCAGAAGACCTCACTGCAATCAAATTACCTACCGTCGACTTCCTTGCTCATGAAGCTGGACCCCAAGGGCTGTGACCAAGTTTTCAAGTACCCATCAGTGAAGAATGTAATGAAAAACAGTTGCATGGAAGGGTCCAGGTTTTTAAGGTTGACCATGATGGAGCAGACAAACAGCGCATGGAGCACTTTGAGGGTCCCTCGACTGTGCAAAACCCAAGCCTGCCTTGCACTTCTCTAGTTCCAATAAAGCCGAGTCAGC